GGGTGCCCCAACCTGCGGCAAGGCTGAGGTCCCGCTGAGGCATGAGTCCCGGGGTCAGGGACGGCTCTGGGCTGACTCCCGGCGGATGGACTAGGCCGATCCCCAGAGGGGAGGGGGTCGGGCCGAGGCCCTGTCGGCGCGTTCCCGGATCCCGTGTTCTCGGCTCCTCGCGTCCCACTATCGGCTCTTTCGTGTGGGACTGACGGCTCACAAAACAGTTACATTTCAATATCATTCGACTCAAAACCACCCTGTGGACGCCGTGCGAGCATTGTCCCCATTTCACAGCTTGGGAGCTGCGACCAGAGAATGTGAGCGCGCCACGCAGCAAGGCCGTGGCCGCGGCGGGACTCGAACCCTCCTTCCCTAGTGCGTGCCGGTGCACCTTAGGACCCGGGGGCGCCGGGGCGGGGCGGGGCCTCGCGCGCGGCCCCCTGGGAAGTGTAGTCCGCAGTCGCAAGGAAGCTGTAGGAGGGGGCGGAGCCTCTTGTGTAAGAGAGTTCAGTGGGCAGCCAGCCCAGACTGCTGGAGGGAGCCCAGCCTGCTGCTGTGTGGACAGTCATTTTCACCCACCCGCGGGACCCCGGGAGGACCACCCGCAGACTCAGGACTGGGGACCTGAGGGGACCCCTGCAGGCCACCCGAGCGGGGGTAGCTCCTCAGAACCTGGGGCTGAGGCCGGGGCCTCCCTTCCTGGAGCCTGGAAGGAAGCAGGCTCCCCGGCACGGAGTCCTGGTGGACCGCCTCAGGCAGACCCAGACCGGACCCGGGCGCTGCGTTGGACTCCCGCAACCCCAGGCCTGTTGGGTCAGCCTTCCAGGCTCGCTGCAGGTTCCTGCGCGGGGCAGCCGTCACTGAGGTCCTTACCCTAGCTCCAGAGAGTAGCTGGTCCCAGGGCACTAGTAGAGAGGTGCGCCCTCCTCCCTCTTCTAAAGGGTTCCCCAGCTGGGCCCCACCTGACCCCTTTCCCCAACCAACTCATCAGTGCCTGGCAGGAAGACACAGCAGCCCTGCCCTGGTGACTGGAGTCCTGGCCCCAGGGCAGGCCCCGCTCCAAGGACCTGATCCCTGGGCTGGGTCAGCGCGGTAGAT